TCAGGGTTCTTTTATATTAGTATACAAATTATATATACTATCATTGACTGATTAAAATGAATATATAACAATGTCAGAGGTAGTTTGAAATTTAAAACTACTTACTTTTACTAAAAGTGAATTTTGACAATTTGTCTTTAACTTACTAAAAATAAATAATCATATATACTCAAAGCAATCCCTTCAGATATGTTGAACCAGATCAAGAAGCATGGATCAGTTATATGTTTAATTCAAGTCATCTACATATGTTCTTTTTTATTCTTATTGTTTTTTTCTATTCTGTTGTCATTTTTTAGAGTCATAATGGAGAGATCTCTTCACTGAAGATACTACATAACAACATCATGTTTGTTGATGAGGAGAAAACTTTTAGTCTTCACAGATTGGTCAAAATGACCTTTCCTACAATTATCTTGTATATTTTTTCATAAATTGCAAGAGATTCATTTTTCCTGTGAGGTAGCTGAGAAGATGATAACTGTAATCAAAATGCATGTCTCATGTCTGTCAAATGTAAGAGACTTGATAGTGTTTTTTTTTTTTCTTAAAAACTGAGAAATTGCTTACATCAGGATTCTTGGTGTCTACATAATGCTTCTATATTTGCTTTGTTTTTATCTGGTGTTAATGTGTCTGAATAGTAAAACAAAGACAAAGAGTGATGGCAAAGGGTCAAAAGTTACTTAGAGCAACAAAGGACGTTGTGGAGAACCTGACTAAACTCTGACTAGGCAGGTCATTAGTCCAGTGGTACAAGAAGTCTTTACAGCAAAAAGAATGTCACTCCAAGAAAGACCCAAGAGATTTAAAAACCAGGAAGAAACATGAGGAGAAGTGATAAAAAGAAAAATGAAATGAAAATGAGGCAAAATCAAAAGAGGAAAACAAATTTAGAAAAGGAAAACAGGAAAATAGAAAACATATAGATAAACATAAAAATTGATGAAAATACCTAAATGGACAAGAGAAAGAAGGAAAAAATGTATTTTACTTTAAAATCTTCATAATTGGGATGAATAAGAGAGAAAAAGAAAGGATCAAATTTAGAATGTAAAATTAGAATGAAAGATTTGAGATCAAACAGAAAGGCAATAAGAAAGAAGATATTAGAAAGGATATCAAAAGAAAGAGAGGGTATAATGATTTTGTCAAAAAGATAAAAGAGATATCAAAACTAAAGAAGTGCATATATATATATATATATATATATATATATATATATAGAGAGAGAGAGAGAGAGGAGATAATTATATACATATATTATTTTCATATAGTGTATCTGAAAAGGGACAAAATGAATAAAATCAGCGGGAAAACTATTCTTAGCTGATACGTTTTATTCTTTATCAAGGCAGCATATATATATATGTGTGTGTGTGTAAGATAAACCAAGGTAGCGAATTTCAAGGTAGTTGATTTCTAATTTATACATATATATATATATATATATATATATATAAAAAAGAGAGAGAGACAATTATATATATTGATATATATATATGAGGGAGAGTGAGAGACATATTTTGATTATAGATATATATATATATATATATAGACTCACATACATACACACACACACACACAGATGTTTATAAAGCTTGGCTTAGTCTGGTAAAATGCTAATAGGGGCAGGATACAAAGATTGTATTGAATGAATGTTTTGAAGTTTGACTCTTACTTAATTTGGGAATGAAAGTCAGAAAATTGTTGAAGTATTAATGTTTGTATTACAAAATTTAAACATTAACAAAATATTGAATTATAAAGCATTTAAAAATACATTTCAAGGGGAAATATTGTTCTATCTTTGTCTCCTGTTTCTTCAGAAATTCTCTCAATTCCTATAGATAATGGGTTAACATTTTATACCTTAGCTGGGAATTGAATTATACATCTTGCTACCATCAGTGCAGTCCTCAAACCACTAAACTATTTCTGCTTGAATGTAAAAAAAAAAACAAAAAAAAGAAAAATACCTCGCTTACCAGAAAACTGTTTTTAATTTCTTTGTCATTCTTTGCTACCAGCAGAGGCTAAACTAAGACTAGAGCTGTCTGATATAAAGAGGAAAAAATGAAGATGTATGGAATATGAAGGCTTTACATATTTGCCATTGTCTTTGGCTCCCACTGACATGTATACCATGTATGCTCTTATACGAACACACACTCTTGTGATTATTTAGTCATGTATTGTTACAGCTTCCAAGAATTCAGCATCTTTGTTTTGTTTTATTTTGTTTTCAAAGTAATATTAATAGCAAAGTTATAGCTAGAAAACTGTTTCGCTCAAGAGAAAAAAAATATTCTAAACTTTATCTTAGCTACATTTTGAAGATGGGGATAAACAAACACAAGCAAAACAAAGATATCAAGGAAAAAAAAACTGTGAAAGGACAGACTCAAAATGAAGAGAGGAGGAAGAACGAGATGTGGAGATAGATTAGAGTGAGAACAAATGTGTAAAGAGAAAAAGAAAGCATTAAGAGAACAACATATACAAACAATGATGCAGTTATTCCTTAAATATTTTATCAGCATACAATTTAACCTTTATATTTTTATTTACTAAATTCATTAATTAATGCTGTCATCGAGTTAATATTTGCTACCTTTATCTAAATATTTTTTGCATGGAGATGCTAGACATTTGTAAATTAAATATAGCAACATGTAGATTTGTTAGATTAGTATTTAAAAGAGATTAAAGCATGTTTTTAAGTCTCTCTTTTTAATCTATTTATGCTAAAGCTTGTATTTTCAAGAAGTGTCAAGTCTCTTTTATACAATTCTCACAAAGGCTGCAGTTATATATTAATTTATAAGCTTATTATTTCCCTTTGTTGAAACAGATTTTTAAAAATTATTGTTTGCTACAAAACAAGAACAAAATGAAAAACAGACAAATATCATCTTTTTTAAAAAAAAATGTTTCAAGAGCATCTTTAAAATTCAAAGAAATTTTTTTTTTTAAATTCAAAGAAAATGTTTGCCACATACTGCTTCCATTTTTCCGGGTAAAGCCAGTTCATTTCATGAGGTAAATTCATACTTACCTGAAAATAAAGAAATAAAACAAATTAGTAACTATTTAAACTGTAACAATAAAAAAAACTTAATTCAGATAATTTTCAAAAAAATATAGTTAATTACCCAATCAGAAACCTGTCATGTTTGACAAAAACTAGGTGTGAAATTCTGTTCTCAGAACACTCATAATATCTGTATTACCCAATTCAGATACTGATAAATTTCATGCAGTTTCCATACCTGTAGATAATATAGTGTAGTTAAAGATTTGAAAGGGTCACCAATTTGGAGTATTGTATGCCATTTTGTTTTTAAAAGCAACTTAGGATTTTGACTACTACACAGGTTGCTTAATTTTTGCACAAGAATTCATACTCAGTTTACTTAAACGATTGCTTAAATTTTTTATAATTTGATATAATAAATCAAAAAGAAAGACTTTTCACATGTAACTAAACTAGTAGAATTCTTGAATATAGTATAAAATAATGTAATCAGTAAGTTTTTGTTAAATTTGTTTTTATTTTTGCTTTTTCGAATTGCTTAAACTTCACTGATATCTGGAATCGAATTACTTAAGATTTATACAAATTGGTGGATAATTGCTTATAAAAAACTTTAGTCTACCTGGCACAAAAGAATATGAGGAAGAAGATTAGCTTTAAAGAATACAGACTGAATAGGATTATTGGGATTTAAGTTAAAAGTAATCATAACTTTCAGAAAGTTAGTGAGAGTACACTCACTGTTTATTATGACCAGAATGGATGAGTTGTTAGGAGTTTCACCAGATATAATGGTGAATTTGTAATTTTGTGAAAATTTTGATGGTCAATGCAATCTGACAGACATCCACATTTCAGTCCAGTGAAAACAAACGATTGTTAAGGGATTTATATTTTTGGGTTTCTCTCTATTTTAATTAACCTAAATATAAAGGAAAATTAAACCAATCTTAAGTGCAATGAAAATTGATTGGTTAAATTGTATTGTTTTCTTAGTGTTCACAGATGGTTGCATACAAAGGATCCTCTTCAACTAATAAAACTATTTTGGGATTGTCACTTAGTACTAGATAAATAATCTAATAGTGTTTATTATTTTTGCTGTAAATTCTCAAGAACAAAGAAAATGCATAAATTTACTTACACATGTTTCAGTTTTATTGAAATTTTAATCATAATTTTTTAAAACAATAAACACTGCAGAGGGGTGAAAGGTTGTTAAAATAATAATGGTGTCAAGAAAAAAGAAAGTTTCTTTTGCAGGTACAAATGTCCAAGTTTGCCAAATGTTTTCCTTATGAAAAGAACATACATTTTTTTTTTTTAGTAAATTATTTTTTTAGCAAATTGGAGTACTGGAAACAAAACTGAAAACATCATGGAATTATTGAGTGTATAAAACTCCTTAAACAATTTGAAAACAAATACAAAATAATATGTATTTTACATAAAGTCAAAAAGCAAAATGCATGAATAGTAAAATTGAGTGCACAGTATGAACTTGGTTAGAGCATGGAACATTAAAAAGAAAGATTTATTTTTCCCTAATGTAAAGGAGTTGGTAGGGGTAACCTTTTTTGAGAATTGATCAAGAAAGCAAAATAAAAAAAAAAAACAGTGGGTGGAAGGAAAACCTGAATTGGAAGGAAAGGAGGGGTCAAAGAGTGGGTTTTGCAGACAATTTAAAGTTGATCTCTGAACTATAGAATCTCAATTCTCATCATAATTAGAGAAAAAAATCAAGATAGGAAAAAGGAGAAGTCCCTGCATTGGTCACAAAGGTGCCTTAGGGCCAGTAGTTTTGAATAATATTGGGTGGTATTAGTTCATTGAGGTTTGGTCATTTTTTTTTCTTGAATTTGTTCAAAGCTTGTCTGGTTCTGTATGTGTGACAATTATCTTTCTATAAAGACATTGACAAGTAACCAGCTAAAACAGGATTCCAAGCAATATATCTCCCCACTCCACTGGCACCCACAATACTACCAAATATGAATATGTCTGCAGGAAGGATACAAAGAAAAGAAAAAAAATGTGTGAGTGATAGATTGAGAGTGGGGAGGTATTTGGTGAGCATCAGGGTAGGGATTTCAGACAGAATGGGAGCAGGGGAGATTTCTGACCAAAGAGTAGAATCAGCATTGGCTATAACTAGGAAAGGAAGTTGTGTTACCACCATCTTCAAGAGCTCTTCTGAAGCCTTCACCCTCATTATAATTGATGCAACTATTATTATTATTATTATTATTGCTTGTTGTTTTTCTTGTTGTTTTTGCTGTTATTGTTACTGTCATCAGCCTTGTTTCCTTACAGAAGAAACAGCAAGAAGGAACAGTCATCTTCAAACATTGCCTTGAGCATGTCATAAAAGAAGGGTTTGAAGATGCATGTCTCCATTTTGGTGGAATCATCATTGCCTTGAGGCATGCAGCAATTGATATAATATTAAGAGAAAAAAAAATGAAGCAAAATGATGAGGGAGGAGAAAAAGAAGATAATATATATAAAAGAAAATATATTCATAAAAAGATATGACAGAAAATCAAAGGAATAAAAAAATAAGTCTACACGTATACAGTTGAAAGATAAAGTAATAGTCTATAATAGGAAACAACAGCATGTGTATATATTATACATACATATAAACACATCATCTCTTTCCCTTCTGAGAGGGAACCAAATGCATGAAAGAAAAAAAAACATTCAGTGGAGAGGGTGGTATGTAAAGTAGAAAATGACAAGTTCCTCCTACTGCCATTTTCAATATTGCCTTTATAATTCTTATTGGTCGAATTATTAATATGTAGCATTTGTCAAGAAAAACTTTAAAAATCCATATAAATTAAAATTTGGTGAAATGAATAAATTAGACAAATTCAAATTGTAGTAGACACATTATTATAACATTTTATTAAATAATCAGTTTCAGAAAAAAACAAAAAAACATCTTTTTAATAAAAATTATTAAAAAGATACATCCCTACTGAGTGGGGTACAAACTTAAAATAAAATCATAATTTATAGAGAAAGACAAAAATTACACAGCACTTAAAGCATATATCAAATTATTAATCTGCAATGTTTCAACTTTTAAGCATGTATAGTTATTAAGTTAGAAATTATATACTCTTCAAGTAACACACTTTAAAATTGAGCTGAGCATTTTTCTGTTAAATATTCATGTGCTTTTTGTGTTTACTATGATGTTTATGCATGAGGTATAAATAAAAGGACAATATATTAAATAGTCAGTCAGTAAGAGTCTGTGTGATAGTTTGAGTAGCAGCCATATGTAATAGTCCAAGTCAAATTATTTAAGAAATGTTCCTGTGTCTTGTCTATTCCCATCATATGAAAACTGTCTTCATAAGTAGAAACTACACTAAAAATGTAAAACAATTTTTGTTAATCACTGCAGCTATTTCTGAAATATGGAAATTTTGGATTTACACTTTATCTGTTTTCTTTTCCTTTCTTTTTCCTTGTGGATTGATTGATAGATTTGTTTTTATGGCTTATCAACCCTTTGTGGGTTATTTAAAGCCAAACTTTATTTGGGATTGTAAGAATAATTGCTTTATTTTTTCTTTGCGAGTGAATATTGCATTAACAATTTTTTGAGAATCACAATTTTTTTCCAAATACAAGTCATATTATTTATCCCATAGCTGGAGGGGAGGTGGGTTCATATATCACCTAGGTATTTGTGTGCAAGTGAATATAACGAACCCAACTGGATTTTAAACAGCTTTGATTTCTCATTTTTAGCCACTATCCATCACAATACCTGCACATCCTTTCATTTTGGATGAGTTGAATATTTTTACAAGGCCAAAATTTTCATCCTCCTCAAACTTCCACAAATATTACTATTGTTATCAATTAATTTTTTTGAAGATTTCTTTAAAATTTTCATTTTAAAAAAAACAAAATTATTAGAGAGGTAAAATAGGAAATATTCTAAATGAAATTCATAACACGTATGTTACTAAATTAATTGAGATCCCTAATAATATTTATACATATCTGTTAATACACTGTATAAGATTTGGGTTATACTCTAAAATTTACCTAGGAATAATGTTTAAATTTCATTGTCATTAACAGGTATGCAGTAAATTCTCAAAGAGAAAATAATGATATAATCAAAATGCTGACATTCCACACCATTTCAGATAAAAAGCTAGGAAGGAAACCCCCATCAATACTGGAAAGAGCAATAACAGATATTGAACTTCAGAAACCCATAAATTTCAACCAACAGTAATATGAGTTACTCAGCCAATCCATGCCAAATGTTTCCTTATAAGGAAATGGCTAATATTACCATTACCAATAGTGAGGATATACAAAAAAAAAAAAGAAAGTTGCCTTGACTACTGTTTAATGCATTCATAGTCCTGGACTGAAACACAACTGTTGACTAAAATAGTGATGCAATCACATCACAATATTTTGACAAATACACCTCAGGCCTCATTGAACAATCAAATCATCATATTTTAACTATTGTTACTATCATTAATTGTAATTTGATTGGACTGATTATTGAAAATGGATTTTGTACAATAATAGGTGATGTTATCTTAATTAAATTATTAATTCTTATTCTTAGATTTTCTTTGAATTCATTCTTCACTAGCGTAATTATCAGCAGTGTACATATGGTTATTATTCCATTTAGTCAACTATTTTATTCAAGTTGTTGTCTATCAAGGCGGTAAATAGTAATGAAGTAAAAATCTGAATTGTAGTGAAATATAAACCTTAAATAAAAAAATTAAAGTTTTAGTTTGATATTAAAGCACTTTTTCTCAATTTTTTCAAAATAAAAAAATAAAGTTCTCAGTATGAAAATGATATTTGCATCAATTAGTATTTATATTTTTGTTTTGTAAATTGTATTCCTTTTATTAGAGACTGATAGCATTTTTTGTTCATATATGTGTTTTGATAGATAAAATTGAGTAAGTCTCAGAATTTAGCTATTAAAAAACAAAAACAGCAGAACAAGTAAAGAGAATGGGTTGAAACTTTAATGATTATGGAACTGACAATGTTTTATGTTGGGATTTTCAATTAATTCTAACCCCAAAATAATATTAATCAAAGAACATAAAAAAGTGTTTTTGTTGCTGCTAATCAAATAAAATTATATCTATATTTAAATTTATTTAAAGTATTTAATATCATGTCATCAAATGTTAATAGTTGAATTGATGACAGATTTCATTTGTATATGAAACTATTTTTACACTCAGTCTTCATAATAATTAGTTTGTATTCTGATAAAAATAAATGTTCAAAATATTGAGGAAGACGGTTATCACCAAGTGTTCAAAATATTGAGGAAAACTGGTGATCACCAAGTGTTCAAAATATTGAGGAAAACTGGTGATCACCAAGTGTTCAAAATATTGAGGAAAACTGGTGATCACCAAGTGTTCAAAATATTGAGGAAAACTGGTGATCACCAAGTGTTCAAAATATTGAGGAAAACTGGTGATCACCAAGTGTTCAAAATATTGAAAGATTCTTCATTAACCTCAATAGAGCATAATTCCATTTTTTTTTAACTAGGTTGACAGAAAATAATCTTTAATGAAGATAATATTTTCACTATAAAAAAATTGTCCTGTTATGATAAAATGAAAGACTTGAAAGAGTAGGTCCCATTTATTTATCAATTTTTTTTTTTAAAAAGACCTGTTTCATTAGAACATATGTGATCATGCCTTTCCATAGATTTTATTTACTATCTCTGAATTGCCATTATTGCTTTATTAAGAAATACAGTAGCTCGATCTCTTGTTGCCTTCTTCATGGTTTTTAATTCAGGGTTTTCTTTTTTTCTGTACTGGTTGTCACTCAGTCTACATAACCCATATCTAGGGGAGAAGAGATGGATTCATGCCTTTCATAAGGGTATATAGTGCAAAATGAATGCAACAGACTTGGCTAAAGTTTGAACTTTTATCACTAATTCTGTATGGATAACCATAATGCTACCTACATGCAATTTCTAGTTTTATGAATGGGTATGTTAGACGAGTTCTTTAGAGATGAAGAAGAGACTCGAGACAATGCTAATTTGGTTCTATAGAAGGATGCTAAGGATATCATGGACAATGCATGTGAGCAAAAATGAGGTCTTAGAGAGGATGCAAACAAGGAGGAGATTTATACTTAACATCAGGAAGAGGTAGCTGAAGTTTCTGGGATATACAACCCTAACCCTGGGATATACAATGAGGAAGGAGGGCCTGGAGAATCTGATACATTTTCTAATTTACAGGTTGAATAGAGTTTTTTAGAGGGAAAGAGAGACAAGGGAAAACAATGCATAATATACCTAGCAGGCTTAAGCAAGTGAATATCAGAATGTGGTCGGGAGGGGGGTGGGGTGGTAAAGAGCTTCAAGGGACAAGGGGGGGGGGAGCCATGATCACCTACATCCTGAAAGGACATAGCACATAAAAAGAAAAGAAGCCTTAAAAACACTGGTCTTATAATAATAACTTATTCTTAGTGAAAGGTTGATAAAATATATCCTTGTTCAATGCCAAGCTATCAATTTATATATTTAATAAGGAATATTTATGCAAATGAAATTATTTTTTATCAAATTTTAATTTTCTCTAAGTTTATATATTACTAACTCTGTCTCATAATAGTTGATAAATTTGCATAAACATTTTATGTCGTAAATCTAACCATTATGAGGCTGGGGTAATACCAAAAATTTCCAAATTGAATTAGATATAGAATCAAAAATTAAAATAATAAAAACATTAAGATGAATGATTATTTGACTATATATATATATATATATATATATATATATATATATATACATACATACACACACAGGTGGATCTAAGCTAATGACATTAATATTGCTACTTTATTTGAAAAGATCTTCCTGATAGGATGGCAAACTTAAGGCTATTTATTTATTATTTTCCTCAATTTATAGTCACATATTTGTTTCAACACCATTTCTACTTTTCACCGAGGAAGCCAGAGACACATGCCTGTATTGACATGCATGCTGTTATTCATAGAAGCTTGAATAATGAATCGTTCTTTTGAATGATGAATGACCACTTCCTGCTCTAACTAAATATCTCGCTCATCTACTCAACCAACTGTACTGATATTCTAACAGTAAAACAGTGT